GTTGTTGTTGTTGTTGTTGTTGTTGTTGTTGTTGTTGTTGTTGTTGTGTAAAAACCGACCATCCGATGACATATATCACATACATCATGACTGATTTACCATGAGTTGTCTCTTGGCCTTCAGTCTTAGTCCGCTGGTCTTCTGGGATGTTGATTGCATCCTTTCTTGATTAAATCCTGGGTTCTTATTTCACAAATATTTCACTATTGTCACCTTCCTAGCCTTTTGTACCCGGTTCCGAATCAAGGGGCAGGAGGAGCAAGCTGTGAACGGCAGCACCTCGCCTTTGGGAAACATTTCTTTTTTTCCCGGTTCCATGGAGCAATATTAATAAGCATATTTCATCATGACCAAAGCAAACCATCACGCCATAAACGCACAAATACTTTTCCTTCAGCAAATCCAAGTATCAGAGGTCACATGTCCGGGCTGTTTGACTGTCATTCCCGACCCGGGGGTTGGCACCGGTGACCTTCCGTCAATCGTTCGGGCACCGGGTCTCATGCGTTTGACTCGGCGGCTGTTCGCCGTGAAATCGCGAGGTGTGCCGTGCTTTGACGGAGAACGTGACCGAGCTGCTGGGACGTCGATGAACATCCCCCCACCAATACATCTGACCGACATGTTCGTTGACCCATGTGGGAGCCTGCCTGTCCAATGAATGGGACAGGTGCTACTGTAGCTGCTAGTTTGTGATGTGATCAATTGAATCAATGTATATTACATATTTATATATATATATATAATATATTGACACCTATTGACACATTCTTCATGTGAAAACACAGTTTCTCTCAAGCTTCCCAGGACTCGCTGCGAAAAGTGCCATGTGTCCATGCCAATGTGCGATATGGATGTTCAACCACCCCAAGATAAGGCGGAGGTGGTTCCAAGCTGGATCTAAGAGATGCCTGATATTCCCGCACAGTTTGGGATCACCGAGAGTTCCCCCGCCTTTTCCGGTTTTGGAGGTTGCCCGATCGTTGATGGACAATGGACTCCCGACTCGTTCGAAAGCTGAAGAGCCTCAAACATTGCGGACACTCGGACTGGAGTGTATGCCATTGACCCCGGGTCAACCACCGCATGTAGGCAAATTTGCAAGTCATGAAGCGTTTGGGTTGTAGTTGTATAGTGATTCTCCTCAGTCTAGACGACTCTTCTCAGGAACTTGAGGTGAAGTTCTGGATTTGGGTTCCAGTTCCAGACATGGTTCCTCTCTTCAGAGCAGCCTGGCAACTAGACTATTCACAAACCCAAACATCATGAAGGGGTATTTTTTCCTTATAAAGTCTTTTTCCACATAGGGGTTATTAGAATCAAGAGCCAGGAGTCACAGAGCTGGTGGTTGGCTCGTCCCATCCTGGATGGATGCTTCGGGCACCCTGATTGCCTCCACCTCCGTTCGGAACCGGCACCCCGACGTTCGTTCGTCTACGTTGAATCAGACCCTCAGTCAGTGAAGGTTTGGTTCGGGCCCAAAGCCCTGCAAAAAGCAGGGTCCAAATCCTCCAGTTTGAAGGGTTCAGAGGGTCCAATATGATGCTTTGAGGAAAGAGAACGCTGACGTCTGAGGTGGTTTATGCTGTTCTTCTTGATCCACAAAGTCACCATGGGCTTTGCGGTGATCGGCGTCATCAACGGAGTCCTCATGCAGGAGTCGTGGTCTTCGGACCCTGTTGAAGACCGGAATCACGTGATCAGACTGCATTTCAACAAATAGTTGTATTGCATACTGTATATAAACTATGCAGCATAGCTTCATTTTAATCCACTGGTTTATGATCTTCATCATAGCCTCATAGCTTCATCATTGCTTACAGAATGTTGCTGGTGTCGCGTCTGCGGTCCAAGACCGCCCATGTCGGCCCCGACCGGTCCTCTAACCGGTCGGAGTCGGAGAAGCTGCACCCGGTCGCGGGCGATCCAGGAAGGTACCGAACCGAAAAGGTATGGTGATTGCAAACACTGTGATGATCAGGAGGGTCCAGTGGTACGTTCTAAGAAGATACCTACTTGGATCCTAGGGGGTAATACTGCGGACATGTGAGACCTATTTGCACGGAACTCCCGATATGGCCTTGGTGCCAGATCCCCCAGCGGAATCGAAGAGCCGAAGAGTTGCTCGAAGCAGGAACCGACTGGAGTGACTGCTGTTCATCACCAGTTGGGATGACGCAAAAGAGAGAAAAGTTCTGTACGATCTGATCGCTTTAAGAAGCGAGCGCTCACAAATCAGTGCAGACATGTGCAGACCTTGATCATCCTGCAACAGCCCGAAGACCTTTAGGAGTAGAAGGTAGTTACAACGTTCACAAATGAAGCAGGTACAGGTGATCAGCCTTCCCCTCCCATCCACGAGCGTAGCTTCGTTGCAAACGGTAGGTCATGGATGCCGTGTGCCGCTGCTGGATTCCATTTCAACAGGATAAACATGATAAAGAGCGTAAACATGTCCCCTGCTGGAAGTCATGTCAAAACCAGTACAATCTAAAAGGTATTAAACGGTGTACAATGCCAAAAGGCGCCCAGTGACTCCATGGGATACACACCCTAGGGCTCCAACCATATCCTCAGGTTCGGTGGTTAGACCCCAAAAACCCACCCCAACCACCTTCTCAGGAGGTCGTTGGAGCCCTAAGGGGCAGATCCAATAGACAGCGTAGTTCAACTGTTGGACCTCACATGGTGTTCAACCTCCGATGGCAGGAAACCTTCAAGGTGGCGTCCTACGACGATACCATCATGATGCGCACAAAGCAGAAGGCCATGCAGAACCACATCAAGAAGATGCAGCTCCTCTTCGAAGAGGCGGATACCTCAGAAGAGGCTCGTTCAAACTTCAGAGTCACCAGGAAGTCACCGGGAGGGTCGGATGATCTCGCGGTCGTCGAGATGCCGGGGGGGTCTCAACTTCACAGTCACCATTGAGGGAGCAAGAACGAACCAAACACATGCAAACGACACCGCTACCCTCCGAGCCACTAACATGGATGTGGATGGCAGGACGTCCAGACGGTCCAGGACGGCCTCCACCAACTCACCCAGGTGGTCTTTGTGACCCAAACTCCACGGCGATGTGTTACCAACTCACCAGGTCGGTGTTTCACGTCCACGGTTGCTGCGGTCGTCCGGTGGTCTTTGGAATCGACGAACGTTCCTGGAGGAAAGACCCGTTCTTCGTACCTCGGTTTCACCGGGGGCGTGTTGTTTTTTCGTGTCAGGCAGTCAGGCATGTATATATAATTTTATATATGTATATATAATATACCCCGAGGGTCCAGGACCATCCTGAGGATGTCCTTTGACCCCCCAAGACCATTCTTTGGAAGTACTTTCAGCTCCAAGACCATCCTCAGGAGGTACCTGGACCCTATGGGATATATATTATATATATAGTGGCCCCCGAAGAGATAGAAAGGTACTATATCGCCACTAAACATGTATTGCAAGCCGTTCTATCTATATATAACCACTATAATATATATATATATGTCCCATGTTCCAAAGGTACTTGAAGTTGGGTCCAGTTTGGGTCCAAGAACCCACCGAGGGGTTTTTGTGGAAAGCACCGCTGCGGCCAACAGCGGCCACAAGTGTGGCCGTGTTCTGAGGATGGGAAGATTGACCTTGACGAATTTAAGGAAATTCTCGCAGATGCTTGTCCTGAAGACAAAGGTGCTATGCTGCTATTTGTTGCTGTGTTATTCAAGTTGTCGTATGTTACAGTAGTTGTTTTGTGTTCCTGTGTTTTGTTGCTATTGGTGGTGTTGGGGCTCGACCATGTTTCTAGCTGGGTGAGCAGGCCAACCATGGGATTTGATTAGGGTTGATTGTGCTTTTGTTTGGAATTATGTCACCCTGCATCCAGTTCATTGAAGGGACCATCCCAAAAAGCAACCTATCGAAGCAGACATGAGAAGCTGGCCAAGGCTAGTTCACGCTGCCAAGTGTACCCTTTTGGGAGGTAATTGGCTCGAGCATTTTCCTCAGCAGTACAAGCTTCTCCCACCAGGATTCATTCCAAAACCACATCATATTGGTTCAGGTAACTTATATATACTGCATATAGTGCTGCGGATTTCTTCATGCGTGACTCGTAGAAAGACAGGGTACGGAGAATTTCGGGTCCTGCTGGGCCCGATGAAATGCTTCAGGCCACCTGGGCGTCGGCGTTGACGGGGCGCCTGAAAAACACCACGTTCCGCATCCACATCCTGCACTGTGCAAGGTGAAGGTTCTATGTCTTTTTCAGAGAGATGCGCCGTCACGGTGTTGGTCAGACACCTGTTGACGATATCGTGATCTCCAGACAGAGCCTTAAAAGGACCTGGCGTTTTTGAGACTTCACAGGTCAACTCTGCCACCTAGGTCACCCTGATCCGTTCCCCAGGTCCCTCGGTGGCCTAAGGATTCGGAGTTGAAGGCCTGGCTGGGAGCCATGGAGCTCGACATCCGCAACGTGGGAGAAGCCTGGGAGCCTCGGAACGCGACCGCGGCGCGCCGAAACGACACGAAACGACTCGATGTCCGGAAGAACGGATTCACGGTGCAGAAGAACGGTTGGCTGAGGATGTGGATGTTGGTGTTAGGCTGGTGTTTCTCAGTCTCAAGATGGTTTAGCCATGGATTTTGTTCACCAATCCATCCTGCTTGCAGCAAATCAGCCAAGACTTGTCAGCTTGGGTCGCTTTTTCATCAGCTTTGGCAGGGTAGGTTTGCTAACTTTGGAGGTCGGCCAGGTTGATCGAGGTGGTTTCACTCCTGGAGGGTGGGGAGGTGGGTGACTTGCCCAAGCTCTTCGAGTTGAAATCTAAGGACTTGTTGCAGGACGAATGCCTCTCGGCACTGGGAAAAATGAGGACAATCCATGAAGAAAAAACCAGCAGTGGAACACCTGCAGATCACCTCACTCAAATCCAACAGCTGGAAGGTTTGACGTTCGGAGCGAGATGAGTGAGGACGGGGTCGATCCTGTCCAGTCATTACTCATTTTAACCCCTGGTAGTGGTGGATTATGACTAGCAGGTGGAGCAAGATGAGTCATTGGAAGTTCTACGACCGATGTCCGTTCATGGAGTCTTTTGGGGGCAGCCGACCAGTTGGCCCGGTCGTTGGGGCAAATCAACTTAGACATGTGACAATGGGTGTATATTTCAATAGGGCAATCAACCCACCCCCCTTGGGTTTTAGAACTGCCGCCTACCGTGGGTCAAACATGTTCTTGAAAGATGGAACTGTAAACAGGTCTGTTTTCCAAATACATGGAACTGTATGTGTAAACGGTATGTGAACATATTCCGGTCTTTGGATGACGCTTCATCTCCACCACTTGGCGCTTCATCTCAGGCAAAGACCGTTCGGGCGGGCTCACCGCCGAGCAGCTGGTCACCGGGGTGGCACGGCTGCAGGGCACTGCCAAGTCCTTAGACTTGATGAAGGTCATCCGAGAGCAGCGCCTGGGAAGAAACACAGAGAGCGTCGTGCGGGTGGGAGAGCTGGGAGAGCTGTGACCCATGACCCAGGGGTCGCGTGGGTGGGAGAGCTGGTGGATTGAGCTAGCTTGTGTATATTGCTAGTTTGTTCGATTTATTTTCGGAGAATCGAATCCACCAATCGTCTCCAAGCACCATGTTCATGCCTGAAGAGCTTGACCACGTCCTACCTTTTGGGGAGATGCGTTTTTTTCCAAAAACCTAACAGGTGGAAACCGAGGGAGTCAGTGGTATAGACTATATAGATCTAGACAGATCTATATATTCAATTTTGTTCACCTTCCAGGAGGTTTTATAGATCCAATCTTGTACAGTAAACACTCCAAGCTCAGCAGGCAATGATGGACGACTCAGTTACTTGCAGGTCTCCTTTGCTTTCACCGGTTGAAAGCGCTAGGTACATTGAAGTTGTTCTTTGGTTCTTATTCCCCAATAGAACCCTACTTACACGCCTCCATGGAAGTGCTAGGTTGGGATCTCCAAACACCATGTTGCTGCACCGGCTGGAGCCGGGGCACTTGTGGGAACCGAGGAACCACATCCATCGGAAGCTGGACCGGCTGGAGCGACACCAACGAGAGGTCCGACGCTCCATTTGTGATGTCACCGTGGCCATGTCGGATGCTGAGCCGGGGCAACTCTACATCTCCGTGTGAGGTTTGAGACCTAACAAGTGAGACGATATCACGCCTTCAGACAGGCCAAGGAAAGGCCTCCAGCATGCTGAAGTCCGCTGTGGGTCGTGGCCGTCCTTCGTGCTCGGTATTTTCGGGAAAGGGGCACGCGGCATCGTTGGAAGTGGTGTTGAGCTATGCTGCGTGGATCGGTTTGACGCTATTGACGCATTGTCACATGAAGCACCAACATGAGACGCACCGGTGTTCGTCAGCAACTGACATCAAAACTGTATCCACTGGTCCGGTGAACAAATCCCTTCGTCACAGTTGAACTTACAGTGGTTTCAGAGTATATAGATGGCACAAGTGACCCCAACAGGGTGGTGAAAACAGTGGTTTACAGTAATTTGGATCTAATATCAGACATGTAGGGGCCTAGGGGGTTTGTGGATCACTCGGAGCCTTGGGACTGATCGCCATTATTCTTCGTCTCGAGTGGTCTGGTTTCAGAGCTCCGGAACCTTCCGTAGCGGAAGATGAAGCTTCGGAGGATCGAAAGATCCAATCGTCCTGTGACATCGAAACGATCGTCCGGGTGAGGAGTTGTTGAGCTATGTTGAGCTGTTCGTCATGTCAGGATTTGTGATGTTGCCTTTTTGGGAGGTGGTTTAACCAGGCCGATGAACCCCCAAAGATGAAGAGGGGCGCCAAAGGCAGTCAGCCGGTGGACATTTAAACATATTAACCAGACATGTGTTCCCAGACCCCCATGTATATACATGCATTTAAATGCATTTACGCCATTCATGTCCCCCAAGAGGAGCATGAGCCTGTGGTCGTGTAGATGCCAGTTTGCCTCAAATGATCATGTTGTGGAAGCATCAGGTTGATTGCCGGTTAGAATGACTTTGTGTGATTCTCACGGAGTGTCTTCTGCCAAGAATTTAAGATACCTGATTACCTGAATCAAGAATGTTTGAGAAGATGATTGGATCAGTGATTGGATCTTATTGCACACATTTTTGGCTGAAAAGACTTCAGCACTGTCTCACTTGGCTCAGGCCTTGCGACCAATGTTTACAGATTCCAGAGTTTCTTCTGAACAGTCACCAGACATGTAGTTCACCCAAACCTCCATACCAAGGAGACCGTTTTGGAGCTTGAAGCGGACGAATCCTGGTTCACAGGAGTGACCTGACATATACCGTCGTTGGTTAAGAACCGAGCCTCCCTACATACACTGTAAAGTGGCTTCTTCCACTTCCATGGCTGTTGGGGTGTAGATGGTATGCATTTTTTCTAGCTTTTGAACCATCGCAAGTCTTTGAGCGTTTTTGAGCTATTGGTGTCGTTGCTTCCCATGATCACACATGTGTATATATATATATATTTATATTATATAGATAGTTTATGAAACGATACATATTGATCAATATTGCCTATATGCAATTATATATATAAGAATAATGCAATGTATTACGTAGCATGTGGTAAATATATATATATATATACACTTACACACTTGCCACCTCACGGGCTCGCCCGACTTCTTGGGTCAGATGCGTTTGTCTCAGGTACGTTGCCCTAGACAGCGGGTCGCCCAATTTGGTTGCACCATGTGTTTTCATTGGACATGCACCATCCCTGCACTGTTGGAGCAACCCTTCGATCGGTCGCACCGTTGGTCACACCTGAGCCCCTGGTCCAGGGCCGCGTTCCGAACGCGAAAACGGCGGGCGGGAAACGTGTCCGGGCCCACGGCGGGCGGAGAATGAACGCCGGTCGACGTGACGGTGGGTTTCTGTGGTTTCGAGCTCCTGAAGGCGATTGAAGGCGCCCCCCCCCATCGAAAACCAGTTTTTGTTGTGTCTCATGTGCGAAGAAGCTATATATATATAATATATATAATATATATATATATAGAAGTGGTAGGATGTGCCAGGCTTTTGTAGTGTCGGGACAAGATGGGCAAGGTTTTGTGGCTTTCAGCCCCAAGGATCGTTTCAGCTGTCCTCACAAAAGCCGTGCCTCGAGCGAAGTAAAATTGGACCATCCAAGATCCTAGCAGGCCGGATTGTTCTTATGCGATGCCCCTCTTTGTGGCTTGAACATCGCAGACCTAATATCAGGAACCAATCAGTTTACCTGGCGGCGCTGTATGCCCATATCGACATTTGGATTCCCAGTATTGGTTGAGAGGTATCAAAAAAATTAATAGGCATCAAGAAAAAAATAATAAGCATCAAAAAAAGAATTGTTTGGTAACCGGTCCTCTAGTCCTTTCATCCTCTCTCTGGACCCTTGGTCCTCTGGTCCCTTGGTCCGCTGGTCCTCTGGTCCCTTGGTCCTCTGGTCCCTTGGTCCCCTGGTCCCTTGGTCCTCTGGTCCTTTGGTCCTTTGGTCCTCTGGTCCTCTAGTCCCTTGGTCCTCTGGTCCCCTGGTCCCTGGGTCCTCTGGTCCTTTGGTTCTCCTGCTACATCCCTTTATCCTTCTGCTGCCGCCGCTGCTTTTGAAACATGCTGTCCATACTTGTTTGCGTTACGGGGGAGGCGCTGCGCCCTCCCCCGAACCCCCTCCCGCTTCTTTAATCCTCCAAGAAAGCTCCAAGTCAAGCCCAAAGAAACGTTAAAGAAGCGAAGGCCCAAGCGAAGCTTAAAGTCCAAAGAAACCCTAAAGAAACGATGCCCTGAGCCAAGCCTAAAGAAACCCTAAAGAAACGAAGCTCTAAGCCAAGCCCAAAGAACCCCCAAAGAAACGAAGCTCAAAGCCAAGCCCAAAGAAACCCTAAAGGGTTGAAGCCTCAAGCCAAGCACAAAGAAACCCTAAAGAAACGAAGCCCTCAACCAGGCCCAAAATAGAACCCTAAAGAAGAAAACCCAAAAGCAAAGCCGTGAGCAAAGCCTAAAGAAACCTTAAACCCCTGATCCCTTGGTCCCTTTGACCTCTTGCTCCCTCTGTTGCTTCCTGAATGTCCTAGTCCCTTGAGCTTTACTGGTTTGCTGGTCCTAGTCTCTTGGTCCCCTGGTCCCTTCGTCTCTTTGGTCGTTCCATATCCTGGTGACCGCTCCAGATTGATATTGAATTATGTTTGGAAGGTACATTTTTTTACGGAATGTGTTCATTTGTTTTTTGGTATGTTTCCTTTTTCGGATTCTTGTTTTGCAGCTTTTCTGTTTCTGCTGCGTTTTTGCTTTTGCATATGCTTCTGCTGTTTTTTCTCACTGTGCTGTGTTTTTTAAACTATGTTTTTGTATGTTTTTGTGCTTTCCATTTTGTTTGTTCTTCTTTGCTTCTTCTATTCTTGCTATTGTTTCTGTTTCTGCGTCTTGTCCTGTTTCCTCCTACTACAACAACTACTACCACTACTACTTTATTGCTACCACCTACTACTACTACTACCACCTACTACTACTACTACCACTACTACTACTACTAC